CCCTACTCCCACCCACCCAGCAGCCATGCCCGACCAGCAGCCGCATCTGAAGCTGAGATACGGAGCCTTTGCCTCTCCACTGCCAGGAAAACCCGGGGCGGGGGGAGGAAGATCCGACCAGAAGATGGGGCCCAACACCTGAGGGGGGTGGAGTGCAAAGAGAAGCTGGTGGCCCACCCAGACCCTCATGTGTACCCAGCCCTGCAGCTGCAGAGGGGAAACTGAGACCCAGATCTACTCCAGGTCAGGTGGCCAATTACATGAGCAGCTGGAGCTCGAAGCTGGGCAGGAGAGGGGGCAAAAAGACAGACAGACACACACACACACACAAAGGAGCCTTACTTTGGAGGCCATCCTTTCCACTTCACCAGATACTCGACTTTACCCTGGGAAGAGAGAGACAGAGAGAGGCAGACACAGTGAGGTTCACAGTCACCCCAACAACCACTCACAGGACAGTCAGGCCCAGAGGACCTCAGTCCCAAATCCCCTCTGCAGACGGGTATCCTCCAACCCACATACACACACAGGCTGGGGACCCTCCAGCAGGTCCTTGCCAACCCAGAGACGCCCACATTTGGTTTCCACATGACCACCTGGGACCATCATCCCTGTGAGAGCACATGACAGCTCACGGGGCAGAAGCTGGGAGCTACAGGACCCAGCCTCTCCGTGTCACCCTTGGCGAAAGTGAGACCAGGCAGGGCGTGTGGATGGTCAGAGATCCTCAGTGTCACAGTCCCCAACATTTTTTCTTTTTGAAGACAGGTAGACTCTTTGAATCCTAGACAACTCTTCCCTTAGGCATTTCCCTCTCCCCTGGCTCAAGCGCCATCAACCTTGGCCCTGGGAGAGGCTGCCTGTAACCAGAGGCGACAGGCCACTAACAGTAGTATTCTCCACTCAAAAGACCCTGCAGTGTCCCAGGAAAGTCCCCATCTTCAGAAACGTGGCTGTTTCTCCAGTTAGCAAATCAAGCCAGCCTCCCCATAGCGTTGTTGTTGTCACCTGCCAGTGAGCCGGAGCCCTGACTCATGGTGACCCGTGCACAACGGGATCCGGCTGTCGTGTTCCTCGGGGTAATCACCAGATGATTTTCAGGAGACTCCCAGGCCTTTCCTCCCAGTCCATTGCTGATACCTGTTCAGCATCGTAGCTGTAAGCCTCCACTGACAAATGGTGGCTCGCTTAAGGGGCGCTGGCTGGAAACTGAACCCTGGCTCTCCCACCAGAGAATTTGGCCCCTGGGCTGTCACTGCTCCACCTAGCCCAGGTGTTGGTGTGAGCTGCCCGTGAGTTGAGAGGGGACTTACAAAGTTTCCAGTGCAACCCCATCAGATCTCAAGCCCATGCACACCAGAACTTGAAGACCTCCTCAAAGCGCCTGTCTGGAAACACCTGAATTTACTTCCTCCTTCATTGTTTGTCTCCTTTGGCCAGAAGGTCAGCTCTGTGAGGGAAGGGGTGTGTCCCTGGACTTAGACTGGTGCCTGGTCCATAACAGATCCTCAGTCAGCATGTTTCCAGTGTATTACTGCCAAAGCTCTCCTGTGAACCCCCCGGGACCCACTGTGGAAGGGGGTAATCACTGTCCCTGCCTCAATTTACCTATAAAGCTCTGTGGAATCAATTAACCCCCTCTTAAATCAACAAAGGAGCTCTGGTAGCATAGTGCCTAAGGCACTTGACTGCTAACCAGAAGGCTGGTGGTTCAAACCCACCAGCCGCTCCTCAGAAGGAAGATGGGGCAATCTACTTCCGTGGTGATACTGCCTCGGAAACCCAAGGAGAGGTCGCTATGAGTCGGGTCCGACTCGACGGCACACAACAACAACAACAACAACTCAACAAAGCCCAGGGGAAAGGGAGAAGCCAGGGAGGAGCTGCCCCCACCCGAAGACAAAGCTCAAGCCCAAGGGACTTGGGGGAAGAGAGGAGGCTGGTCGCCCACCCTGACCCTCTTCCTTGACCCAAGATACCAGGATGAGTTTTCTCCCCTGAAAGATGATGCGCGGCAATCCGCCAATCTGCACTCCTATTCTACCTCGACATCCAACTTGCTGTGTGACCTTGGGCAGATCTCTTCTTTGGCCTAGGCCTCGGTTTCTGCCTCTGACAAGTGGGTAGGGACAGCCCCGCCCAACCATGAGCTGGAGCCTCCGAGAGGCTGCATGGGCAGATGAGGAAAAGGCTGTTGGTAGTAGGTGCGAGGAGAGGAACTTTCCCGAAGGACTTCCAGCCCCCATGTCCAAAGTGGGGCGAGCAGCACTTTGCAAACATGTGCATGGACAGCGAAGACGCCAGGCCTGGGCTGCCAGAGCCCAGCCACAAGGCGCGCAGTCGAATCCAGCCAGTGGATGGCTCCTTAAATCGCAGGCTGCTTGTTTTGGAGCAGACAGAGGGGGAGGAGCTTCGAGGATGCCCCAGGTCGGTAGGAGGCCTCACAGGCCCCGAGGGAACCTGGGTGCGGGAGTGGGCGGAGACGGAGGCGCCCCCGCGAGAGGGCGAGAACGACGCGGGATCAGAAACGAGCGAAGTCCAGCAGGAAAACCTCCGAGGCCGGGGGTGGGGCCTGGGCGCGACTTTTCCGAAGCTCCGCCCCCAACTTCAAAGGACTAGGTACCAAGAGTCCAGAGTCCCGAGTTCGAGACTTAGCTGTGATGCTAACACGCTGGCCAAGTCGTTTCCTCCGCTAGGGCCTCAGTCTCCCCCTAGTTAGAATGGGTTTGGGAAGATGAGGAGGGATGGCGCTCAGGAGCCATACAGTCGGATCGTCTCTCCAGCTCAGGCGGGCTCAGCTGCCCCCAGCATCCCGGGGCGACAACTTTTATTCTACTCACCCTACAAGGAGGCAGGGGAAACTGAGGCATGGAGTGGGGAGCCGGGCCCAGCGGGTAGGGCTGTCCGGGCCCCCCGCCCCGCTTTCCCCGTCGCCCCCAGAGTGAAGGGGCGGCGCTGGAGAGCGGGAGGAACCCCACAGGGGTCTCGGGAGCCGCCCCCGGGCAGCCTCACCTTCCGCACGCGCTTCTTCCGGATGCTCTCCACGGCGAACACCTGCTCGCCGATGGCTGACAGCTCCATGCGG